CCATGAAGATGCCTGCCGTTTGTTCATCAGATGGCCATCTGACGAACGTCTTAGAATGTTCATAGGCGTGTGGATGTACTACAAGTGAGTGCGATGGCCTCACTTGTGGTACGGTCGTTAGAACGATTGCACAAGATCACAGTGTAGAAGGCCACAACACTGCGGAACCGGCTTCCGGTACCTGTGGAGAGACACAGGCTGCGCCGAAGGTTCACCCCTCGAAGAGATCGAGTGGACCGAAACATGGATGCACACCAAGAAGGGTGCATCCGAGAAGATAAATTAGTGGTGTTCAGGGTGAACATCACGTCGAATCGAGATCGACTAGCAGAAAGTCGATCGTAGAACAAGCCCAATCGACTGAAAGAAAGTCGATCGAAGTGGACGTGACTGTGGTAGTGCACCCACAGCCAGAACACATATTGAAAGAAAGTTCAAGCTTTCCTGAGAGTGGTAACTCCCGAGAGTGTTATGTTGAGGGTGTAGATACCCAACCACCTGCGGATGTGTTTTCTTAGGGAAAACACCGAGTCAGTGAATGTCTTGGTGAACGACGGATCAAGTGTAGGCGCATCTACACTTATTCTGGTTACATCTACGAAGTCAGCTTCGGAGGTGGTCAAGTTGCCAACGCTAGAATCTAAAAGATTCTTGCGAGATCTGCGTAGTGACAAGATCAAGCAGGTCTGCGTACTCGTCACAGAGGACGAGTACGTCGCCGATATTTGATCGGCACAAGTGTTTGCTGAGAACGAACGGGTTCTCGTTACTCATCGATGGAAGAGAGTGTCCTCGATGAGAAGACTTGGATTGAGCGGTACACGTCTCATTTTTAGGAGTCTTTGAAGACAAATATTTTGTATAAGGATTTGGTTGAACACAGGGATGTTTTACCGAAATCCGTGCCATGCGAGGTGCCTAAGGACAAAGGCACTTGGCATGAGATCGAACTGAAACTGGTTCAAAATACTGTGTCATGAATCAGTGACCACTGCCTCGTGAACAGGTCACAGCGATCGACAAATTCTTTGCCGATCGTTTAGCGGCTGGTCATGTGAGGGAATCAACTTCCCCACACAGCTCTCCGACCTTCTGTGTGCGAAAGGCCACAGGAGGGTGGCGGAAAGTGCAAGCATTTAACAAACTAAATGCTTCAACCGTACCGGCTCAAACGCCGATCCCAAGAAAGGACTTCATCATAGATAGTATGGCAAAGAGTACCATATTTTTGTCCATGGATCTGATGGATAGATTCTATCAGATCCTCATGCGTGAACGACACATCCCTTACACAGCAGTAAGCACCCTCAGTGGTATGCTCTGGGAGTGGCTAGTGATGCCACAGAGTATTATTAACGCCCCTGCAACGTTCAACAGATGTGTTACGAATATGTTGCGATCGGTGCGAGATTTTTCTCCGTGTTACTATGAAGATGTCTTTGTCCAAAGCCAGGCTATGGATGGAAAGACGGACGTAAAGATCATGGATTCCACGTCCGGGAGGTTCTACTCTAATGCGAGAGCATAAGTTTTTCGCGAGCCTCAAGGAGTGTATATTCGCAGCGAACGAAATACCACTTTATGATTCCATCGTGGGTAAAAATATCGCACGCCCTGATTTATAAAAGATCAAGGCGATTAGCGACTGGAATAGGCCAGTCGACGTCAAGGGAGCTCGGAAGTTTCTTGGTTTAGCGGCGTACTTGCACAAGTACTCGCGCAACTACGCCAAGATGATCTTACATCTCTCTCGTTTGTTAAAAAACGAGAGGTTGTCATGGAGTGCTAAGTGTCAGCACTCCTTCGAAGATATCAAGAAAAGCTTGACACAATCGCCTGTGTTGGCGATTGCAGAGCAGGGCAGACCAATCCATGTAGTCAGTGACGACAGCGATTTTGTGATCGGCTGTGCCTTAATTTAGTACGACTCAGACGGCGTTGAACGCGTCGTCTGTTATCAATCGCGTCAGATGCAAACAGCTGAGCGAAATTGCCGGTTCTTGACAAGAAACCCCTTGCCATGAAATATGCACTGCCAAGTTTTGGGTAAATCTCTTAGGAGATAGGCCCTTCATCGTTTATGCCGACCATGCGTCGTTACGAACGGCCGTAAACAGTCCACACCTCTCGCAACGAATGGCGAGGTGGTTGTCTTATTTCGCGGAGTTCAACTTCTTCGTCAAGTTTAAGTCAGGACGACTTGATTTCGTCGCTGATGCTCTTTTGCATCGGCCCGATTTCGAGCCGACTGCTCAACCCAACAGTAGGGGTGATCCAACTCTAGCGACACTAACATTGATTGTTCCGTCGTCGAATCTGCTCGACGACGTGCGGAAGGCATACGCAGAAGATGAGCTTCTTCTGCGATTGATAGATCACATATCGAATTCATGCGTTCAAGCTTCGGAAGCTTGTCGGCTCAATACCGCTCTTCAACCGCACGGTATTATGTTTGTGGTGTACTGCTGCACTATACAGCAGTCAACGGCTACACACCTCGTGTCATCGTATCCGCTCATGATAATTTTCGAGTGCGCATCATGTATGAGTGTCACGATGCCCCAACAAGTGGGCATCGCAGTAGAGAAAAGACTTACCTCACTGTAAGTCGTGACTTCTACTAGCCTCGCCAGTATGAGTTTGTGCGTAAATAAATTCGCGCTTGGTAAGTTTGCCAACGGGTGAAGCCTTGTCCTTCATCCCGTGCACCCTTGCAGCCTCTACTGATTTCGGCAGAGGGATGGCAGTCCGTATTGACGGACTTCGTCTTTGGGTTTCCCAAAGACGCTTACAAGAATACTGGTATTCTTGTGTTGTTGATCGGTTCAGCAAGATGGTACATCTTTTGCTGTACCGGAGTCAGTCACAGCCCAGGGCTTTGATCGTGTCTTCATCGATTATATCTTCCGACTTCACGGGTCACTTCGTGACCTCGTGTCCGATACGGACCCCCTCTTTACGGCGGAGTTCTGGCAACCCGTTTTTCGTTTACTTGGAAAACGTTTAATAATGTCGACTTCTGACCAACCAGAAACGGATGGTCAAACGGAACGCGTTAACCGCGTCTTTAAAAAGACACTTCGAGTGTATGTCCACTCGTTTACGAGTTGGAGAGAGTTCTTGCCGATGGCGGAATTCGCCATCAACAAATCATGGCATGCGTCGATAACGCACACATCGTCAATTGTGAATGGCCTAGGCCATCCACGTTTACTTGCCTTCTTAGAGTGTGACTCTAGATTAAGGGGGGGTGGGCTCGATCGAGCAATGCCCGATCTGGTTCTTGCTCATCACCCGTTGACAATGGTGTCGACGTGATGGGTGCCAATGTCGATGCGATTGATATCGATGATGATGATGACGACGATGCTGTTATATTCAGCAGCGTCATTGACTGCCACAGGTAGGACGATGACGCCCTCACTGGTGAATACAACGTTCTTTCAGCAGTGCACAAGAAGCGCACTGCTTTTGACAAGGATGAATCAGCAGAGGAATTTCTGCTGACTCGTGAATTGGTTGTCCGCTTCGTCTAAGACTCTACTGCAGATGCACTAGACAGACAGAAAAGAAACGCAGACAAACATGAAAGGGCAAACGTTCTTTCATGTGATGAAGGAGACCTAGTTTACTGTCTACAGTAAACTTACTGAAACACGCAGTGAAAAACGTGGGCAGCAGTCAATTACTGCCCAAGTACATCGGTCCATTTCGTGTGTTGCGCCTAATAGTCAACGCATACACAAATAAAACTGCCCCGTAAGATACGTACGCATCCTACGTTTTACGTTGGACATGTCCGCCCTTACTATCAGTACAAGCCCGTTTCGAGATGCGAAGAACACATCCGCGGTCGAGATCCGAGACCACCTTCGAGTGGTCCCGTTTCAATGATCCAGTCTAATTGACTAGCGAAGCGACCTGCTCACGCAGTTGAGCGATGTCCTGACGAGCTACAGTCATCTCGTCACATAGAGAACAAACCGAACGTTCGTTCTAACGTTGCGCCAACGCGGCATGATCGTTCGAGCGATCGTGCGCGAATTAATTAAAAAAAATTCCCTTACAAGATCCTCAAGCCCATAACGCCGAGTCCGTTCATGATCCAGGTCATCGCGTAACTGTTCCGTTACACGGTTCAGTTCCAGAACATCAAGCTGATCCGACCCTCGAGCCGGATCGGGTGTTCCCGCCACCACTACGTCCTTTGGTTGATTTTGGCGGTCGCTATCGCTTTCTGGTGGAGCGTATATTGAACCACCTCGACGTGAATGGCGTCCGGACGAGTTACCTCGTCCTCTGGCGTGGCTATCCACCGGCCTGGGTCAGCTGGGAGCCTCGTGTCCAGCTGATTGTTGATGTCCTTGGTCTCGTCGATAAATGTGACGAGACCCACCCGCTGCGTTTGAAGAATGGCCGTCAAAAAACGACCTTTCCGAACGCGAGTACAGGGATTGCAAAGTGTCAATCCCTTCGGCCATCTCGGAAGAGATGCGCGCCCTCCAGTAGGAATCATTAGGGAGTAAGGCCTTCCTAGGGGCACGGTTCGAACTGTCCAGGCAACCCGGACACGAATCACCCCACGAGAGACAGGGTAATCCTGCCTCTCTTGACAGGCGGTGCAACTTGTATCGCGCCCCGACTGGGTTGCGTTTCTCAAACCTGATGCGAGCTGCATCAAGTTGACCGAGACAGGCCCCATGGCCAATGCACTCGATGTTATGGATGAGGTAATTACATCCTTGCACCAAGGCCTTGCCGTCTCGAAAATGGCTGCTATTGTACTATCGATGTTTAAAAAATGCATCGGTGAAAATATTTTCCTCAGCACGGATAGTTTCCGTGCTGGAATTAGAGGGGCAAATCTTCCTGCAATTGAACAACGGGATTCGATACCGTTCGGTAGTCGTGCCGGCCAACCAGTCCAACTCTATAGGTGACGGCATCCAAGGAGACTCCACTTAAGGAGCATGGCGCAGAATTTTTCGGTCCCTGGCCTCTTAAGTGGTGTCAGCATGATCACTGAAACGAGTGGCAGCTCGATCTCTCGAGTTGCTTCTCTCGTGGTGATGCATCGGGGCATCATCACCATTACCACGCGTCCTATCGTCGGATAGACTTGCGTGAGGCGAGGATTCGTCAGAAGAATTGCTCGGTCCGAAGATCTCGAGCATGATGCCGCCACGTTTTCCAGAGCCAGTCAACCTGGCTCTTGCAGTGTCTGCCCCGGATGATCCGAAGGCGTAAGTTGTCGCCTTCGAGTCGTATGCATCATCCGAATCGCCACAATAGATAGGCCCAATTTCAGACTCATTTACATTGTGATTCGCAGTACCCGCTGCCAACGCAGCGGATGTACCTGTCGCACGTGGCGACTCACCACGTGGACTATTCACAGCAACAGGCGACGAATCACCTGCTGCTAAAGCAAGAAAAGAATTTTCTTCGGCTGCACGAATGCGTGCAACCGCTTTTCTTGCTGCTTCGGCAGCGCACCGCATAAACTTTGAGACCATGCGATGAATTGGAAAATGAGTTGTAATTTAATTAACAAGCGATCCTCTTCCCAGATTCATTTAACGGTGGTCACCCTGTCCAAATCAGTTAAATTTAATCAACGGGCGATTGATGGTTAGGGGGGTGATGTAATGGGGAAGCCCGTTACATGATATTGACACCAAACGTTGTCAATTGGGATATTGTCTATCGTGATAATTACCTACCAATATTATCCAAGATAGTTTATGTTGATAGAATATTATCCCATTTTAGGATTATATTCATGCGCTGCTCCAATTTTGCATGATAAAGACAATACAAACAAGGATACCACCAATCGCTGCTGGACGCGCGTAATGAGTGTTGAGCAGGTTGTCATCAAACGACGATGTAGATTAATATAGTTAGATAAAGACTGAAGTTATACTGATAGCTTAACTATCTTGTATACAGTTCTATTTTACCCTTGACTCAAACTAGCTGTTTGAGTAGATTAGCTTCATCTGCACGTACAAGTGTAAGTAAAGTTTCGCGGCACTCCAAACAAAGGGTGATCCGTTAAACGTGCACCTAGGTCTACCCGCTGATGCGAGCGATAGACAAGCAGACACTTATGTAGTAGCGTTGACGCATCTCTGCTTCTTGCATCTTGTCGTGAGTACTGAGGTAAGAAGTCGATGTGCACCACGTGATTTAACTGTTGCTGTGCTTAACACCCCAGCTGTTCGATCCGACTTAGTGATGGGCGTCGCAAAAGATACACTTATTGGCTTATGACAGTACGGAACAAGTAGTACTAAAGCAGTCCGGAAGCTGCTCAATACAGCTCATCTTAGCGGTACGTACCTTTACCTCTGTATGATACTTTTAGATGAATAGGTAGGGTGCACGCAATGAGATTTTATGCTGGCAGCTCGCCGAACTTTTTCATTCGCTCGGTGTGCTACGGTCGATTATGGCTAATGGAAGAGGAACCGTGAAAACAAATGTGTTCGCCAAAAAACACTATGTAACGGTTAGACTATCCGTAAGCCTTATTTAGCATATGCCAAAAAGAGGTAAGGAAAAGGCCAATTTTGATTAAACTCCAACAGAAACGTTTCTAAGAGAATTAGGATCCTCCGCTGTTCGAACGGTCTGGAGTCTTCAGTCGCAAGACGACGGCTCCTGCAACGGCGCGGGTGGGAGACAACTTCTGGCTTTTGGAAACATCCGAGAGCGATTTAAGGTTGAAAAGTTTAGGAGAAGGTAAAATGGAAGTGAATTATCATCTAGATAGGTCCTTCGTTCGCCTATTTGTACTACTCCAGGCCTATCTATATCGACTCTACGATATTAGTGACAAATGATGAGTCAATCCAGTCTTTACACACAATCACGTTGTGTCGTCCATATAGGTGGTCATTAGTATCAGTAAACAACAACATACCAATACTTCTCTCTTCGACTAAAAGTTTCTAATCTTGGCTTTGTCCAGCAGCGACTCGACCTTCATCGTCGAAATCGGTTTGGTCAGAAAATCTGCGAGCCGTGACTTGGTTTCTAGTATACTACAGGTCCATAATCTTGTCATCCACTTTTTCGCGCACGAAATGGTACCTGACGTCAATGTGATTCGTTCGACTTTACAAGCCGTCGTTCTTAGAGGTTGCGATTGAACTCTGGTTGTCTTCATAGATTGTGACAGCGTAATTTGATGTGCACTGGTATCTTCTCGAATCTACCTATTGTCCACCTTATCTCCTATACACACAAAGAAAGAACCATGTACTCTGCCTTAGCCGTGCTCAGTTCCACGCACTTATGCATCTTTGACTCAAAAAGTACAGGTGCGCCATTATTATTGAATAAGAAATTGATCTGTGATTGCACTTGTTACTGGCCCAGTCCGCATCAGTGCACTCACTCAGCTAAAGATTGCCTGAAACTCCTACATAGCAAATTTATTTACTTTTCGTTGTCTTTAGATATCTCAAATTCGAATTGCTGCATTACAGTGCTCTTCGTGCAAAAATTTCAAATGACGACTCATTTAACATAGTGCATACACTATATCTGGTCTTGCGCCTGTTGCCACATAAACAGCGACCCCACTTAAAACGACCGATACGGTCGATTCTTCGTTCTTGTGTCAATTTTGTTCATCTCGATTATCGCTTACCCTTCAACAATTAGATTGAATACTGCTTTTGAATCACCCTGATTAGATTTCTCGATCATTCTTGATATACAAGATACTTGACTAGTCTTTAGACGTCGGCTGTTGCGCAGACACTTAAATTCGATTCTGAGAACTTACCGAACGTCACTTAATATCTAATGTGCAAACGACTTGACAGTTGCGATGTCACATCGTCTATCACACCAGCAGATCCAATAAGAAGGTCGCTCGCATATAATCCATCGTAAATTTACAAGCCATTGGTCTCTATGACGAAGATGCGTTACTCTGTCGTGCATGCGGTGGATCCTATATCCACAAATATGCACGATATTGTCTTATACCATGTTGCGGCCGCTTGGTTTAGCTCATACAGGCTACGGAGGAACTTATTCACTTGATCACGTCCTGCACGAATCCTAGCGAATGGTATACGTATACCTCTTCTACCGAAACACCGTATCGAAAAGCTGTTTCGACATCGTATTTGATGAATTAGCATCTCCTTGTGACAACACACCGCCATAAACACTCGGATTGAGTTGAGGTTTGCCAGAGGTGAATGTAGCTCCATGTAATCAGCTCCATACGTCAGCCCGTGGAGCCAAGTACTACAAGACGTGCATTGTATCGTTCAAATTCAGCAAGTTCGTTCCGTTCGAGCGTAAAAACCCACTTGGTTACAATCACTTTTTGTCTTGAACGCTGTGTTGTACTGTCCAGGTGTCCTTTTCGTGCAATGCCTTGAGTTTGTTTTGGATGGAATTGTACAAATCATCGCGATGAGGTGATTTGAGAGCTTCTTCGCATGTCGCTGGGGTCTCGAGCGCTGCAAATGCTTGCTCATTCCCAGTACTCAGTCTCTTTGTGTTTTTTCTTAACACACTTCTGTTCTATCAGATAAATACTCACCCGCTTGACCCACTGGTACCGTTTTCCACCGATCCTTATAAACGCTTGCGGTTTCTTAAGATGTTTGAACACTTGGTCTCCGACTTGGTTTAATCGCCATCTGCCCTGGACTTGACACGACTTCAAAAGGTAGACTATGGGTCGTGTAGCTTTAGGCCTAAAGCCCACGTCTTTGCACGCCCTGCCTAGTTCAATTAATCAAGTGCAATCTGTATTTGCTTATCGACGATGTGACAAGCCCTTATGTAATCGTCGAGTCCCACAAATCATTTTAACGTAGAGCCTTTGTCAGCTCCCTTGTACTTAAAACTTCAATCTTTACAGTCTCGATTTATCTTGTGCACGTCGATCCGGAGCAGTAGTCTGCCGCTATATCAAAAGTTTAAACTGCTGTGCACGATTTTATTTTAACAGCTCTGTCGGTTAAGACCATTTTGAAGAAGCGAGGATAATTTTTACAGCTCGACGTCAAGTTCATTCTGAATAAACTTGGGGATGGTGGCGTTCTGTCCGTCGGGCCTCAGAGCGGACAGCATGCGCCAACGGATTCTTGCCCCATCGTCGAACTCAAAAGTCCGGCGGCATCCTAGTTAAATTGCCTCAAATGGGAGTGGCTTTCGTAAGTGGGATATAAATTATCCCCTCATCGTCCTTCACGTTCATGGTCACTATACAGACTACGAAGTGCTACCAGGTGGTATGGGGCTGCTCTTTTTTCAGCTAGCTAAATAAATCTTGCACTGCTGACAGTGAAAGGGTGTGTGCTTCCTACTGCCTCACTTACACGTACGCGCAGATGAAGATTGCTATGCGGATTAAGAATGCTTGGTAAAGGTAAAAAGTAGAACTGGATTTAGTATAGTTATTTCTCTTAGTAATCCCTATTTGACTTCATTTGACTATTTCTAAGTACAAACTTGTATTATAACTATCTGCCAACCACTCATTGCGTGCTTTTTTCATGGCTAGAATTTATTGGTGGATACATTGGTCCTACATGAACCAATAAGCAGTCTATGACATCTACGAAGCAAAATTATCGATTTGGATAATATTGTACGAATATTGTGTTTGTCCAAACATAACATTCATACTTGATAATTACCTTTTGTAAATAATCATGTAACGGAGGCATCCCGTTACATGCTTTGGATTTGCAATACTAGAGCAATATGTCCAACAACACCTGAAAGAAGACATGCTTAGCTTCTTGACGGAAGGTTTGAGTGGTAAAAGTGCGTTCGCAATGTTTGCTGTACATGTTTGATGTTTCCAATAGACCTGATGCCGGTAGCGTGAAAGCCAGAGCGTAGTTCTTCTCGTTGCTACGGTGTTGGAGTGAAGCTGGAATTGATCTGGATAATATGTTCAAACCATATTTTCAGTATTTCATCCAGAGAAAGATGCGGCTTCAAAGATGAAAATCATTCTATCCTATTAACGCGTGGTCTATAATGCGGGCAACCACCATTGTGTGCGAGCTGTACGGCCTCATTGAGACTTACGACCGTGGCTTCGAGTGAGACAATGCCTCTCCGACATGAGAAGACACTATTGATAGACTGTACGAACTCTGTATCGTGCCGGTCTCGGTAGTGTGAAGCCGATGAGTCCGTGTAGCGATTCGCTGTAATACGCGCTTGTTTGCTATAGGAGCAAATCGCGTTTTAGGTAATTAACTCGTATTTTCGTGTTGTACCCACTGCGCCTTTAACTTGATGAAGTAAAATGAGGGAGACATCATGTGGCGTACCAAGACGATAACTCCCTCATTTCATTCCGTCAAGTAAATCTATCGCGCGCGTCTTGCTTCGACTGATATTGTGTATACCTTTGCTTTTGTCGAAGCGTGAGCGCTGATGATGTCTTCCGAAGTTACACCGTAAAGCCACAAGTGCGTTTTAACGATTTTGCCCTTTGCGTACAGGAGTTGTGCGAAACACTGACTTTTACAGACCACATCTATGGCGCATCTGCGGAATAGCGTCTTACAATGGTAGCGTGTGTCTCGGTAGCAACATTTGCTGGACAACATGCTTCGATAGAGGCATCACTTTGGACTCGTCAACGAATCAAACCCTCAGTCTCAGTAGATTATTACAGTCGAACTGCCGCTACATATTCTGAGTCAGCAATTTCTTGGAATTGTGATCGCAGCAAAGGATTGCGACCTAACGCTCGATCCCACAAATCCCGCACATTCTCCTTCAGTGAACGGCGCAGGGTAAAACGAAGCTGCCGAATTTCTTAACTCATAATTTTTGTGTAAACTGCAAGCTTGCTTGATAATCAAAGATATTCTCGACGTACAAAGCGTTTCGTGATACTCGCGACAGTTAAACTGTATGACGCCACTCAAGCATAAACCACTGTTGTGGTTTCTCTTCAGTCCTTTGCACTGTTACTATTGCGCAAAAGGGGATACTTCTTATACATCGAAAGCGGCAAAGTCGTTCACGAATATCGCCTCAAAAAGAATACCATAGCTACAAACACGAGGATGTTACATTGGCACACCAACACTCCACACACGCACGTGCGTACCAGTGGTTCCTTATAAACATTTGTACCTGGAACTGTCATACATCGCGTGACCCACCAATGCTCGGGGCATATCGGGTTGTAAGCTTGTTACATAAGTCTGACCCTCATCTACGGTCGGAGTAAAATCATACAACATTTTACTTTTTCTGGGCTCCAGCCAGCGTTAGCGTGGCATTTACGCTCATACTAATCACATGCGATTATTCAACCACATGTGCGCACAACCAAGGATAAAAGACACTCATAAATAGGCGACCAAGGTCTCGAAGGTGGTTCCTTTAACACCCACCTGCCTCGCTGAGACTAACATCGATCGCCAAAGCTACCGTATGCGTTTTTATTCGGCCTCTAACGGTCAAGGAGGCATTGTTTTAGAGTTTTGGCCTCCTCATGTAACGAGGGTGGACGACCTCGCTTAAGACATTACAATCTGTTACACCGCTGCAAAAGGTATAAACAAACAGCACGTCGCGCGTATGAGTACATATCACCGCCAGCTCATTATACTTCACGAGACGATGAGGTTTTCTGACAACAAGTGCCAGTAACGAGAGTTCCACGAAGTCACAAGAGTCGCAGGAGCGTGCACCGATGTACAACACGGTCGAGTTCAGTAAAAATAGACACCCTTATAATCCAGTCACGTCAAGAATATGTAATGTTTTAAAATTTAGGTGCGCATAGTCACCGCTATCGAGTTGAGGATCTCATCGCGTGCAATAAGAACTTACCAATTTCGGGATCTAGTCAACTCTCGATACCCACCATCGCCAGTTGCCAAATTCTGCTAGACATCGTGATCGAACGAACAACACCCCTTATGCTTAGGCGAAAGCGCGTTAGCAACGCCGGCATCTGTTTATTCAACGAAATGCGCTGCGAGCCTTTTACAATATACATGTAGGCACACTTGTCTGATGGTAATTTGATTGTACAAGGTCATGATGACACTTTCGATTTTATCTTGGTCATCCTTGTATCCGGTAGCAAGGACCATGGTTCACCTGACAACGATGCCTGACACTTTTTCTACAAATGAAATTGAACATGTTGGGGTTTTACGGCTGTGACTGCACCTTAGGCGATTGTAAAGGCTCGCTGCGTTCAAGTTGCAAGCACGAAGGTACAAGAAACTAATGACAACGCTTAAGCAAGATATTTAGACAGCGACGTCTACGTAAAGAGTAGAAGGAAGTTTTTTTGCCGAGATGAGGCGACACTGTCGGAAGGCAAAGCGTGTAGTCAATGCCTTTTTATTGAACGCGTGCCAAACTATCTACGTTCCTCGCACTAAAGGTTTACTCCGTGGCTTAACCAGTCAATAAGTAAATTCCAAACTCGGGTCTAACGCCACCCTTTTGACTGTTAACCTTCTCGAAAGTGAGAGTGACCCGCCCGTCATAATCATCATAATGATTGTAAATCTGGCAGCTAGGTCATCGACCGAAACGGGGTGTCTTCCACCACATCCCCCATTGAAACAGTCACTCTCGTGCATATCGCATAGGATGTCACTAGGAATGGGGAAAATGGGCTTGCTTTCGCAATGTACGAAGACTAGTGGTGTATGATACTGCGTTCGAAATACTTGTGCAGTCCAAGGACGTGTTAAATCGGCCAAAGACCACGCTCGCTAGACATGTACTCGAGTTGTGCTACTGAGGCCCGTATATACGGAGTCAGAGCGTATTCAAAATAGCGTAAGGCTACTGCGGGGTACCGAATACTCTAACACGCGTCACGAGAGGTACCTTACCACAATGCAGTCGAGTCATAAAGAGCACTAGGTGAATCACCCGCTTGAAATTAGCCTCTGAACAGGACACGAAATGAGCTTGCATCTGCAAAGATTCATCGCTAACTTCAGAACGGTATGTGCAGCTCGATAGTTTGTGAAATGGAGTACCAATCCTTCCGCATTATGATGGTGCAGTTCAGAAGCACGCTACCAGAGTGTACTGGCTATGAAGTGTACAAGGCGACTTTTGCCAGCACCTATTGTACCTAGCGTTTAAGCCACCTCCGACTTGCAGAAACTATAGCCTCTACATAACTTGTAAGATGGAACGCGATACGATGTGGCGTACAATCGGAAGACAAAGGAGTAGTAGAAGAGGACACAACTGTACGTGTATCCTACCTCAAGATTTTACCCATTGCTTTGTTAGGGGCGTAGTACTCCAAGAACACCTCGGATAATCATGGATCGATAGCAGCGCGGCAGTTGCGTTTGGCATCGGCCGTGTTGCCGTAAGTAGTTCTCAGATTAGTCGCAGCCTTCACCCTTTGGACTTATACACAAGCTCAGGAACTTTCCCAAGAATCCATACTGCCCAACAACGTTCAGACGTTCTCTATGACGTGCTATAGGTTGTGTTACAGCCAACTCACCACTTCAACATCAACAAATCGATGCGTACCCACTTTCCGAGTAATTGATGTACTCGCACCTCAACTAAGTACGAACAAATCGTTACATAGAACCTCCTAACCTGACCCCCCAACACCGACTTATTCTCGATTCTGCCCCGCTTTAGAAATGCCCACCAGCCCGAGGATAGAAACGGCACTTGATGATGTCGACGCGCGCACGTCGGCTCTGTGGCGCGAGCTCGTGGACACCAGTGTCGAGTGCGAGCTATGCAACGAGCCATACAACGACGACAATGCGGACGATGCCGGCCACATCCCGCGCCTCTTGACGTGCGGCCACACTTACTGCCAGGTAGAAACGCGCTGCACACTTGACTGCATTTCTATAACCCCTTCCCCTCATTTCTAACGAGTTCAATAATGTTACGAATTCTGATTCTGATTATAAACACTCTGATTCTGATTATCCTAGAGCTGTTTGGATGACTGGGCGACGGCAAATACTCGTCTGGCTGACGCTTTGGGTGAAGAAATGGCCGTGGAATGTCCAACCTGTCGCCGCGTCACGCGTTTGAACCGGGCGATAGGCGCACAGGCGCTTCCTAAGAATTATGAGCTCGTGCGCGCCCGTCAGGAGATGGAAGCGCGGTCTCAGATTCACTTGGTTCAACTCAAGCAGGAGTGGGCGATTCAAGTGAAGGAGAAAGAGCTCTTGGCTAAAGAAGCACAGGAACATGCTCGGACGGCCCAGCGGGGAGAGTGTGCAGGCTTCCCAGCGTGCCTTGTTTCTGGCCAAGCAGGTGCAGATCAATGAGCAAGAGAAGAAAGAGGCACAGGATCTGGCCGAAGAAGCGAGACGCCGCGCGCTGCTCGCGTCGCAGCAAGCGGCAGTGCTGCAGGCAGAGACTGAGAATTTGAAACGGCAGCTTGAGGTGGATGCGGCGCAACTTGCTCGAGTGCAACTTGATGCCTCTAGTGCTGCAGCGGTGGCAAAGGAGCTGCATTCCAAGGCGGAACAGTTGCAGCAGCAAGTAGACTGTGTCCGTGCACAGCTGTCGCTACATGCTGGAAGACATGACCCTAGCAAGTTGGTGGTGCTTGTGTGTGAACCGACGACAGTGGGTTCGTGGTTGCTCCCATACACGAGGTATGCCGTGATCAGTATCGCCAGTGACACGATAAAGGGTGCACAAGCCATTGACCCGTACCAAGCTGCTAAGACATGGACACGCCTTCACCAAGTTGAAGAACCCAGCTCGTCTGTCAAAGTGTACCGCCGCTACAGCGATTTTGTCTGGCTGCATGGCGAATTGCAGCGTCAATTTCCATTTGAGCTAGTGCCCTGTGTACCGGGGAAGCAGATCTTCTTTAACAAAGAGAAGGAGTTTGTTGGTGAACGCATGCGGCTATTGCAAGCTTTCTTGCGCGGTGTATTACGACTGCCGCTTCTCTCTGTGACGGAAGAAGTACGTGCTTTCTTATTGTCGACCACTGAAGAGCTCGAAAGTCTTCGACGTGCCACTTCTACTTATTACGGCGGATTGGAGGATGACGACCTGCTGTCGTTGGACGAATGTTCACCCTGCGACGACGTGGAGTCCCGAAGCTCATCATCCCCGCGAGCTAGTTATGCCCCCGCATCGTCCACCAACACTACACTCAGCATGCACAGCAGTAGTTGGAGTGCATGGAGTGCTGTTTCGGCCATAACTTCAAGCGCTGCAAAGCTAGTCACTACAACTGGCACGGCTCTTTCTGGCATGAGTTCGAAAACCGGTCCAGCAAGTCTTCCTACAGATTGCGAACTCGAGTTGTCGAGGAGTTTTACCGAGGCAGAAGGAGATAACGCAGCGACTCGCTCGTGCATTGATCGTCGTCGTAAATATATAGACGTGGCAAGGTCGTATCAGCTAACAGCTCAAAAAGGAAGCCAACTATCACGAGCTTCGCGTCAACAGTCGTACCACTTACACCGCATGTGTGAACTTCTACATGATATGAACAAGTTGGATCAAGATCATGCGCAGCGGCGCCGGCAGAGACTTGCAGCATCTGATGACTTGAGGTCCCGTTTGGATGATGACGATGACGATATGGAGACTCGAGCCTTTGGTGAGCGAGCATCCGATGTATTTAGTGCCATTTCTCTTAACACAAAAAACGATGCGGATTGCATGGAGTACGCACTGTTGGAGGTCGTCCGCATGCAGACACTAGAGCTTGGAGGCATTGAGGATGCTTTTGCGCGTGTCCGTCGTCGTGAGGAGGCGCTTCAAACGCAGCAGCAATTGACCCCACCATCCAGCAGTCCCAGAACAGTCAACCACTCGAGTGACTATGGAGTTTCACTCTCTGCCGTATCTCTTAAACGCGACGAGTTGGCAACACACAGGCGCGAGCTAAACGAAAAAGTGGCAAGTCTGGACCCAGGCCGCTCGCAGTTTGTGCTGGACGTGCTTGGTAAAAACACGAGCGAGATGTACAAGCTGGCAAAGACTAAACGAAAACTCTTTCAGGCCTCGCAGCAGCAACTTATTGGTGTGAGGCGTTAGGTGAATTCCTGCACGCCTGGGACATAGTGCGCTCGAAGGGGCGGATCAAGCAATGGTGAGTTTGTATCAATACATCGCGTGTGATTGTGTACACGATGTGTTTCTTCACGTTGCAGTCTCGTTCGTGGTGTTGTTGAGGGACGGCGGTCAGTGCTTATCCGTCCACTTGGGTGGTAGATGACAATCAACGAAGGAATGCGGGCAAGTTGACACGTTCCGTCTGCGCCAATCGCACCAGTCTCGTCACTTTGACGTACTCTACGCGCACGACGGAAGCTCTGGATCCGAGCGATACTGCAGCCGCTGTATCCGCCACCAAGACGAAGAGGCTTCTTATAGGTGGCACGATGCAACAGCGCAGACACTTCGAATGCCTCACACAGAATCCAGCACCAAGCCAATGGCTCCATGCTCTGCTGCTGTAACTCGCCTTACAGCTATGTGCTGTGTGCGAGATGAGCGGAACAAACGCGTCCGACGTGTTTTCATAGGCAAGTGAAGAGGCTCGAAGGCAGATGGACGCCTGGTTCAAGTCGGCAGGTTGATTGCCCATCTCGATGCGCCGCCTGTTTCTGTCCGTCTCACGTGGGTGCGATATGTCGCAAAAAGACTCTGCAAGCGGTGGATGAAGTATCTGCGACAAGGCAATCGCTCCGTCTCTCGTCCGTACCGGATAAGATGTGACTTGTGTCTCAGTATCGGATCATTTGAATAAAGCGCTGCCGTGACGACGACGCGTCTTGCTTTGTCTTGTCTTTGTCACCTGCGGCCGAGTGACCGCAAGAGTCGTGACAGGATCGTCGTTCGCGGAACAAGCGCGGAACGTTCGGACAAGCCAGGTCCTTGGTGGCAGCATCAAGCGGCGTGGGACGTGCTCTATTGAAAGGCACTGCGCTTGTTCGGCAAACGCCACAGTGAAGATACCTCGTAATGTTCCGCTGGCTTTGCAACGGTGACGCGACACTCGATCGAGTCTGGGATAGGCGTGGATCTGATCCGCCCGGCAGAAGGTCCACCCTCATCCTGGCGGGGATGCTCACACATGAGAGAGAGAGAGAGAAAAAGTTGCAGAGAAAAAGTGGTGCATGGACAACCTTTGAGCAGCACTCGGACGTATTGCTCAAGCTCTTGTGGTGTGGGTACAGAAGGCATCTCGTCCATATAAGCTCGAGGCATTTATACCCGTTAGCAAGTGGGGCTTGATGCTGCAACAACAGTCGAGTATTGCGAGCTGCTCTACGTGTGGTACATCCGCCTGACCAGTCGTTGTCTCGCTTCCGAACGTCCGTCCCGCTTGAAGTGAGGTGTCCGCCCGTCTATCGACCTGACAGAAGTCAGTCACGAGGTCGTCGTCTCGCGCATTCATTGGCGGAAACTGACGTCTTTTCCATCCGTTGACGCGAGCTGTCGTCGTGTCGTTCGTGACACCCAGTTGGCCCGTCGCTTGTCACCCGGACGAAGAGAGCAGGACGTGCAAGAAAAAGGCCAGCAAGCCGCCCCCACGACCGACTACTGCCTGGAGGGTCCTTCCAGTCAGCAATTTCAACGCATGGCACAGCAGCAGTGGAGAACCGCGAGTGGAGCTCCTAGCGACTACCAGACGGCCAAGATGCAGTCGAACGAGGGCTCGGTTTCAACCGACGGTTGCGAGGCGAGGGAAGGGCGCGGCCCGAGGCTTCGCTTCACACACGATCAGTGCGAGAAAGAGCTTTTTTCGAGTGAATACTTGAGGTGCGGGCGCGTAAGGTGTAATTGTAGAAGAGAGAGAGAGAGAGAGAAAGGGGGGGGGTGAGAGGAGGGGTGGTGCTCTATTGGTGAGTTAATGGTCATGGTTGTGTGACTGACTGGCGGTCTTTGTATCTGCACTTTGTAGGAGCAATAAAGCCAGTGGTCACAAGGTGCGCGTCCGTTGGATCTTGGATCTATTTGTTTCATTCATGGAGCCGTGGCCCTCTGTCGCTGCTTTTGCTTCTTGTTATGGTTGCTGCTGGTTTCAGCTTCTTGTGTTCTAGTGCTTCAGCTGATTGTGAGTGGTGCGTTGTGTTTTACTTGTAGAATCTCCGTTGTTTTCCTCATTGCTGTGGTGGTCATAATCCCAAGAGTTTCTGTGGCTCGGGGCTCGTGGTCGAGTGCTTGCTGCCGACATGTCAAGTAGTGCTGGGCAGGTTTGAAGAACTGGCAAAGCAGCTGCCAGCTCACGCGAAAGCGCTTCCGTCGCCAACTGCATCCACGGCTGTCGACACGAGTCTTGGCCGCAATAACCTCGTGGTTGGTCGTGAGTATCCTCGTCAAGAGCTCTTTGACGATGTCAAGATGCCAGACCAGCCTTTCGGTCGCTGGTTCCGAGGCACGGCAGTGCCAGGTGGCAGCACGTCGGGAGCAGAAAGCTCGTGCTTTCTCCTGAATGGTAATCGCCAGTCGTGGCACTATGGATGGCAGTCGTCGCGACTTAACTGCAAGAATCTGCACGTTTTCAAAGTCTACATTTTTGATGCAAGTGCTAGCGGAAATGACAACACGATGACGTGCATTGCTGCACTGGCATCACCGGCGTTCAGGATCTCGTCGAGCCGCAAGGCTAGAAAGACGTTCCGTGCACCCATGAGCCATGCGGCGGCGCTTGCTAACAGCGCTGTGCCAAGTTTGTCAAGTGGGTCGATGGGATTGCAACTGCCGCGACACGTGCTGTCTGCTTTAAGAAGTCCTGGAGTAGGTTTGCCGCCAGGGTCGCAAGGTGCGAGGAGTATTGATGAGTTCTTGGGAAGCGCAGCAGGCAGTAATCACACTGCTGCGGTAAATGCAGCTACTCTGTATGTGGCAGCCCAGCAACAACAACGACCGCCGACGGGCTTTATGACGAGGCAGCAGGACCCTGCTCGGCGTGAACGCAAGCGTTTAACTCGATCGGCTTCACTCAAGACAGACTATTTCTCGACCGTCTCTTTCCCTCCACCACAAGAGCAGCAGCAGCAATTGCACCAGCACCAGCTGTATCAACAATCCCAGAGACTGTCGCTTTCTGCCACGCATCCACTGCATTTCGAGGGTCTTCGCGACAATCGGGTATCGATGCCATCGTTGCCAGGTGTAGGCGCTTTCCTGAACAACTCTGTGGGACCTCGCGCAGCAGATGGTAATCGATCGGTCCATACGCGGCGGTCATCCCTAGCCGCTCTTCCAATGCCTGCTTCCAAGCCGTTGAATATGCCGCGCCAACCCCCAAGACCAGTGCCTGTGCTTACCCCAATTACAGGCATGATGCAGCTTCGATTGGAGAATCACTCGCTTTATTCCAGGACTCCACTTGCAAGCTCCACTCCGTCATCTACCCGTTCTGCGGTCCCTTCTTCTAGTACAAGGACTCCTGTTGGAAACACGTCGCGCCTTACGGCTGCAGCTTTGCACCAGCATGCGTATGCTTCTGCCAGGCCGTATCCGTACGTACGGCGTGATACTTGGTTGAGCAGCTTACAAGGCATGATTCCAGAAGGAGGTGGCATTCCGATGATGATGATGTCACCAACAACGACTGACAGTTATCTGAACCGCAAGCGCAACCGCTCCACGGACTCAGATAAGGCAATCACGGCTGCCATTGAGGCCTCGGAGAAAATTCGCCCAACTTTGTCGCCCGTGTCATCGCCTGGATATTCGCCTCCAATGGTGGCTCCAGTCCCTACGGACAGTGAACTTTACCGTCGCGCACGTATTTTGCAGCTAGCGTTCACTATTGTTAAGCGTATTCATCGCTTTGAAGAAGTTGCAGCAAAGCAGAAGGAGTCGAACCCTAAGGTGTATCGCCACTCGTTTGAGATGATCACTCCACCAATGCCGACCACATCGAATGAGACTCTGAGGTCTCCTCGTAAAAAGTGTACACTCGTGCAGATTCCATTGAGTAATCCGAAGTTGCTGCATTTGTGCTCGAATCTTGTGACAGTTTGTACATCGCTGGTAAACTCTGGACGGCTGGAGGATCTGCGTGATAAGATGCATGCTTGTGCCCAGGCTGGACGTGGTGCATTGGCTGCTTACGCACAGCTTGTGAATTTGTTGAATGATGCCGTAGAGGCCCAGGTATCGCGTCTACCACGTCGTATGCATAAGTCTTGGGGCGACGCGGAATCTGCTGACGAAGGTGAGTGGGACTTGTACGAAATGCTGAAGAGTTGCGAGCCATGGCTACTGCATGAGGCATGGTGGGTGGTTCTGGATGACGATGACCAGCAGCAAGCAGGCGATAAAGAGGAAGGCGCATTGCGCCCACTACCGTACATGAACGTGTTTGCGGACTATTATCACGCGATCCGAGATGCGGTACTTTCACCCCACGACCTGGAAGTGGCAGCCTCACTGCGTAAGGCAGCGGTTGCGGGCGCTACGGGTCTAACTGGTGAGTGGAGAGGCGAAGCCGACGAGCATCACATGCAGCAGCGACAGCGCGTTGCCTCTGTTCGATCGGCTACGGCAGCGTCATCACTTTCGTGGTTGGCACGTTGCGTTCATACGCACACAACTAAGGTGCTCCACATCACCGAAACGGACACGACTATGACGTTATCACTTCCGAACAGTTTGGTTTCTGCTGACGCAGTTTTTCTGCTGCAATTGGATCAGCAAGAACCGACGGTGGTTTTTCCTCAAGACTATTTTCCGTTCGGATGGTCTCGGAAGCGTTCATTGATGGCTTATCGTGCTTGGCGTGTACGTGGTATTGGCGACTCAAACGGCAGTGCTGTAGCTGTTCAATTTATGCGCTGGCCTGACGATAATGAGCTCGATGCTGTTGAGAACGACGAAGAAGAGGAGGAACTAGATGATGATGATGAAGCAGATGACTCTCCCGAAGAGCCGGAAGAGGAGCCTATTGGTCGTCGCGGACGACGGCCAAAGCGTCTGCGTACACGAATAACCATCTACTTTTCGGTATTCTCCACGACGACTCTTCAGCTACGTACAATTGTTGAAGCGAGCCTCGCCCCTGCTGCCGCTCTGCCGGCCTCCATGCCAGCGCAGCCCACCGAAGCTGATATGCTGCGATATTTCAAAGCGCCATCGTCCTGGGAAATGCGATCGCAAATTTCGCAGCAGTACACGAAGAACATATAAACAATGGCTGGGGTTGGATGTGTCCAAACGACTGCTGCCTCACATGTTGAGCGAGTACTGATCGATATTTGTCAAGCTATAAAGCTCCCTCGACGACTTCCACATTGTATCGATGCGTACCACGTATCTTCTCATCAAGCGGAAGCAAGTATGGGCCGAAACAGCTCGAGTATGTGTGTGGTGATTTCGCAAGCATCATCGTGGTCAGACGTAAAAGCAAGTTCAGATCAAGCGAGTCCAGCATGGACAATGAATACGGGCCCAGTAGCAACGCAATCAATACCATTCCGCTTGTTCGAAGAGTTGAGCCCAACATACACTTGAACAACTTACGTCGGACATCCATTGAGACGCTTAAGAATCATCGCTTTCGGACGCAGATCACGTTGCGACAATCCAGCGAAGTTCTTGCTGGCCTTTGATTAATGTACAGCTGTACTGAGGAATGTGATCAATATCGTCTCCGCGACTGCCGAATCTCTCCTAGGTCCGCAATAAAGTAGAGATGATCTGTTCAACTCATCAATTGCAACAGCCACCCACAACACTTCGAGCATATCCAGTCAGCTCCTGCCGCAGCTCTTCGATCATCAGCGTCGACACAGCCGAATCACTACGGCTTGATAAATCCTACCACCATGCGACTTAGAATCTCGATCAATCGAACGAAATCATTCGACCTTATTTTCCTTGTTGGTGAAGCTGCGGCTGCTGGCGTCGTTCAATTGCTGGATTCGAGGACAGCGTCGTTGTCGCTGCTACAATTGGTTGTGCAGTTACTATTCCTGTCCCTGCAGTCGGCACCGACGTACTTCTTGAAACTGTCAAAACGCTGGAACTTGGACGCGATAACATCGCCGTGGTGACTCCCGAAAACGAAGTCACCGATTTGGACTGCTCATTTGCAGACAGATATGGCAGGACCGCACTCTTTCCTGTTGCTACTGCTGCCGTCTTAGCAGCATTCACAGCAACGGCTGAAGAAGCAGCGACCGACTGTTTTTGCAGTGCTTGCTGCTGAGCGGCATACCTTCGCTGCATCTTCTTCCGCGCCGCGGCATCTTGACTGGCCTTGACTTTCTCGTTATATCTGGCTAACACGTGAGCGTACGGTGTAAATCCTAGATTCTCCATGCTTTCTACGACATTACTGCCAGAGATCGACAGACCTACACCTTTCTTCGTTCTCCGGTTCTGCATCACGGATAGATCGCGCGCCTCGCTAGTGAAATACAGCAGAAACTCGGTGACGCATTCTTGCATAAAGGTCACAGCCTCATCGCTTATTCTGACTGTATCTTGAAAACGCGACTCGTGATCTAGAGTCCTGTGTGACGCAAAGGTGGCCGCTGATACACCTTTGCTTTTTGTTTGCTCTTGGCGCTTGACAATTATGTCACCAACGCCTGCGTTTTCTTCTTGCACACGTGGAAGAGCCTTGTGCATAATCTTGGACACAATCTTGGATGGCATGTACATCTTGTCTTCAGGTTCTGAGCTTGTTCGGCGAGTCGAATCGAACTCGTAAAATTGCTGCGCGAGTTGAGGCGAAATTGGAGGTACCGATGTTGTCGGAGGTCGGTGGGCAGCCGCAATCAAGCTTGAAGACACTGCATGCACATCTGTGCATTGTTTCTTGGCAGCATCTGGAACTCCACACTGCATCGGGCGCTTGTATGTCGCTGGCACTGTCGCGGCTGCCAATTCGCGGTTACTGGTAATGGTAACCACATTGGTAGTATCCACTTTTGCTGCGTCTCGTTTTACCTTTGCCTTCTGATTGATCTCGACTTGTTTGGCTTGCAACTGGTCTTTCAAGTCGGCATATGCCCGCTCGATCCATGCCATGTCCCGTTTTACAGGAGCCCTGGCGGATTGATCAGGTGTCATCGAGCATGACGACGAAGCCATTTCAACTCGTGTCTGTGTTAGTGTCACTGGCTTTAGAGCGACAGCAGCACGAGTGGAACTAGTAGCAACGGCACTACTGGAAGCCGTGGTGAAAGAAGTGTTATCGGAAGCGACCATACGACTTGCAGATGTGGTCGTGATTGCAGCACGAGGAAACACCGTAAGAGCAGTGGCAGTGGCACCAGCGTAAGCTGCAGCAGGACGGGAAGTGACGACACCGTCAGCTGTAGTAGTAGCGGAACTCGCGGGAGCAGCAACGGTAGACTTGACAGCTGCGGCAGCTCTTAGAGCAGTAGCACGCTGCTGCTGAGCAGCTTGGTTCTTTTCTCGCAGCATAAGCACTCCCAACAATTGTACGATTTTGTGCGTGATATACTCGGATTTGACTTGGAGATCCAGCGGCCACCGGTTTTGCTGGACCAGCGTTGGCCGGCGGAGGGCCATTGAGTCATTATATTCTCGCTGCGCAAGTTGCAGTAGTGGAAGCTCTGTGCATCGATGCAGCCATGACGTCATTTTCTCGAGCGCTGGACGCATTTCGCTCTCGGTTCTTGCATTTGCCACGCGGATACAGACTCTCGCCAGTGCTTCCAAATCCATTCCAATCGTATCTTTCACCACTTTCTTCTTCACCGAGAAACAAGTTGGTGCAGCAGTAAGTACTGTATTTGAGGCTGCCGTTGTTGCTGTTGACGATGCTGCTGGTTGTGCACTTTGTGTCCCACCCTTGCTGACACCTTGCCTCCATTTCATCTGCAGCTGGAGCTGAGCTTGTTGATGTTGCTGTTGTTTCTGCAACACATCACGAAGCATCTGCTGTTGTTGAATCACGTGCTGCTGCTGCACCAACAATGAGTCGGCAATCGACGTAGACAAGACCTTTCTTGTCACGCTATTTCCATTGCTTCCTTGACGTTGTTGCTTCTGCCGCTGTCTTTGTTGCGCGCGTTCCTGTTCCAGCTCCAGTTTTCTTTGTAACCACTTGTCTCCTGTCACCATCGCTGACTGTTGAGCAATCTGCTGTGACGTTGCAATTTGCGTCTGTTGGAGCTTCTGAAGATCATCCCCCTTCGTTCCGGCGATGCCCACAGTGCTCCTAGTACTTGAACCAGCAATTGTCGCTGGCGCTGTAGTAATGGTATTCGTAGCAGTAACCGTAGACGAAAAGATCCTGTTAGTACTAGCAATGCTACTACTATTGCTAGTATTATTTCCAATAGTACTAGGCGTCGTCGTCGCCCCCGCCCTTTTTGCCATAGTAGGGTACAGTTGAACTTGCTGCTGCGCCAGCGAGATGTGCAGTCGGTTCGACTCTTTCTGCGCTTGAAGCAATGGGTTCATCACTGAGGCTTTTGTATGGGCGGAAGCAGCAGAAATTGGATCATTTCCGCTTGATTTCGCCTCAACAAGAGTCTCAATAGTAATCGCTTGATGCGGAGGTGTCCACTTCGCCTTGTCTGCAATATTTTGAGGCTCCTGCTGCATGATGGAGGAAACAGAGTGAGCAGGCCGATGCGCCTTTGTCTTGGCTTGATCATCGGATGCTTTGGGAGAAGCTAAGGCACTTGCTGGGGCGCTCAGCTGCGCGGACGTGGACGCCGTTCCTGCTTCGGTCGGGTTCGCCATGTGTTGAGAACGGTGTGGACGTGAAGGTTACGAAAAGGGTACACGAGAGTGCTCTGGTGAGTTACAGTCCGACGGTCGGACTGCGTAAACTAATTGCGAGCCTGTAGGGTGAAGCTATTAGGGAGTGTGCGCAAGGTTAAATGCCAAGCTCTTAAATCGTACTTATCTGTGTCTGTCTGTAAATGACGCGGCTAAGTGGACTTTCACGTCTTAAGTGCGATGTAGCCTGTCCCCCTCACTGGTATATCCGAAGTCACTCTTTGCCAAGGTCAATAATGTAGTGCAAAAGTGACCTAGCCAAAGCGTGGCTTAGGGTGCTTGTGATTGGCTTATAATCAATTAAAGGGGAAATGATCACATGAGCAAATGCTAGACGCTAATAAGCAAAGGCCGATCGCGTTGCCCTACCTTACTGTACTGGGTTAACACAGACGGTAACATCATCATACGCCTTCTTCAGTAACTCCTGTTAAACAGTGTTTTGAAACGTGAATCCGTTCTCCGAACTGGATTGCTTATATCACAAAGAGCGAACTCCAGAGCTTAGCCCCCTATCTTATCTCTTTTCTTTCTCATAGCCAACTTACACAGAAGGAGGGGGCGAAACATCTTATTGGCATTCATCGAATGCTTATGCGACTATGGTCCTAGTAGATGCTACCCTTCTCTACTGTAACCTAATGTATCGAGTAGCTTCACGGGCAACTTGTGAGGGTGCAATAACTTCAATTTGCCATAGCCAACTTATATGTTGCTGCATGCTTTCGTTGAGCTTGTTTAGTGTCGCACTCGAAACGAATCCTCTACGACGTAGTCGTTTATTTCTTTACGACTCGAGAAAGCCAGTATATCGATAAAAAGTAGCTTTTCCCTTTCTGACTACGGCTAGTGAGATCTCAACTTGCAAAACTACTGCTGCCTGTAGTAACGCTAATGCTGTGATGTCTTAGGAGCAAGAACCTCGGTTTTTCCGAAGGGTCGGACACTTGCTAATTTGACCTTTGTCCGCTTTTGTTCACTCTAACGCCTATCAAGTGCAAGCACTAGTGTGGACTTTTAACGCGGTCGCAACAAATGACCTGATCAAAGAGTTGCATCGATCATGTGTTTGTCGACGTACAAATGGATGTTTTGCTAGGGTGCAGGCAGGATGTTGACCTCAGTCAGCGTATCATCGCGCTGTACTTCTTCAACATCACTGTCAGCACTTTCCTACCGACACGCAACAGCTTGAATATCTCGACACAAATTGGACGGCACTCTTGCATACAGTACTACACGTTTTGTAGTAGAGACGCGTTGATAAAGAGTGAAGGCTGTATTTGCTGTTCAAAATCCAGTTGTAATCTTCATGATTGCGGTCGTTGCTAATCGTCAGTATCAAGTCACTTTCGGAGCGACGCTAGTCTTCTTGCTGGTGCCTTCGTGTACCGCGAGCACAATGTTGTCGTCGATCCCGCCGATTTGCCGCAATAATCGCTATTCGTTTTGCTAGTTTTCTTGTTGCTGAACCCATGTTGATATGTTTTACCTCGCCACATCCGTAGCTGGCGCGCAATTCCTGGTGAGTCGCGCAATCGTCCACGTGCGCAACGATCCCCGTTTTAAAGGAGCGTCTGAATCGAGTTTTCACCTCGATTTCCTGCGTGAATTGTGCAAGCTTTGTAAAACGTTCAAGCTACATGTAGCGGAGCTACACAGCTCCGTAAGTCAGAGGAAGAATTAACGCTCAACGAGAAAGTTAGTTCTACAGAACTAAACTCAATGAGTCAACAAGCGTAACGCTTATGATCCTTGTTCCAGGGGACCAAACGATTCGATGAATCGACAGCACTTAGTGCTCAAAAACAACTAGCTACCTCAGGGATAGGTGTTGCTAACTCTAAGTGATCAGCGATCAACGACCAAAGACGCCTCACAAGGCACGTGTCTTTAAGATCAAAAGAGGAACTGAAATTTGTTTACATTTACACCTATCGAATATCTTAATCATAATCTAGTACACTTATGTCCTAAGTTAGTGCCTCTAAAATCTCTCCTATCTAGTGGCTGACACCAGTCAGCCCCTATAAACAGATAAGATATTCTATATCTCTTTCAGCGGGATATCATCCGTGTGTCCAAGACACAGGGTACCAGGTACCCAACTACGTCTAACACCATTGCACCCCCACCGTACTGACGTTTCCCAAAACGCCAATCGGACCTCGCCCCAATCGAACGTTCTCTTTGAACTTTTTTCTTTCACGAGTTCAGTACACGAGCGGGTCATTACGGCAACGTAAAGCTCTATCACGATGTCCATATCACGTAACGAGTCAAACACTCTAAGTGATTACCTCGAACAGGTAAGATTTTAAATAATGGTAGCGACACCAGTGTTCCGGGTGATGCAGGGACAATGTCCGATACACCCGTGTCTGAGGTACAAACTCGTCTTGCCCCCTGTCCGTTCCCTGAACATAATGATTAAAACTCGCCATTAGCACCGCGCTCAATCCCCGATTCGGATGATAACATCATCACGAACTCGCTCGATGACCAGCAATAGATAATCTTTCAACAAGGAAAAGCACTCAGCGCCATGCGCAAATAGCCGCAGCCCTCGAGCACCGACGTGACTATGTGTTCACTTCACCTAGTGTGGAGGAACGCTTACGTCTAGCGGCCGGCCAATCGTTGGCAGCGTGGATCATTGGCCACAGGCCTAAGTCTCCTGAGGAGGTGGCAAGCGGACAGGCACTTCGCGAAAGGTACCTGGAACCTCACCTAACATCCCGAGATCAATTTAAGGCTCGCCTTGATATGCAAGCTCGTGGTGCACCGGTCCCACTGATAAAAAGTATACCCATTCTCTTGTCTGCAGGCGAAACAGAGAGCGAAGAAGACAATGCCTTCGTCCGCTGGGTGCACCGCATACGTCGCCTCAGCAACATGTCTCCTCTAAGAGCTAGTGCCAATGTGGATGATGTGCGTCTCGAACGCAAGCTTCGGTATGACTATGCCAAGCTTAAGGCCAGAGGCCACTTGCGTAATCCCACGCGATATGCTTTGGCTACCACGGTAGCCGCGAGTGCTGGTCAGAAGAAGACCACAAACCCGCCAACCCGCACCACTAGTGGTGGGAAACGGCCTCGGTCTTAAAAGGGCGTGCCACGATGTTCAAAAACGTCAAAGGCATGAGGGCAATCTTGCCGTAGGGGTGCCTCGTATTCCTATGAGTTGTCAGAATCAGGGATCTCACGCCACTTAACCAGATACTGGTAGTGACCATGAAGACGACGTCATTTTAGTAGGCTATCCACATGACACTGATGACACCCATGCTCATCGAGCGGCGTAGGTGGCGACCGGTACCGGTGGCAGTCCACGCGAAATTGGTTCTCAAAGTGAAGGGTCTTCAAGAGACCATGGGGAAGACCCAATGAATGCTGGATGCGATGCATAGCCGCCTTTAGGTGATGGAGCATGCTTAAACTTGGAGCGAGGCTCAGTTGGACTTGCTGATTCGCTTGCATCAATCCGGGGCGCCGCCCTCGTCGTCGTCACCAGCGCATCAAAGTTCACATAGGAAGGATACCGGTATGGCTTAAGTAAGCCTACGTAGAACACAGGGTGTGTGCGCAATTTGCGTGGAACGTTGAGCGTATACGAAAGGCCCTTCTTGGCGGTGACCGTAAACGGTCCAATAAAGCGTGGGCGCAATTTTGTCTTGACGACAAAAGACACTACATCTGTAGGTAGGTTTTTAGCATTGAGTAATACTTGGTCTCCGACCTCATAACTTTCAATACAAAATCTGCCTTTGGCATCAGCTTGTTGTTTTTGTTAATCTTGGCTATCAGCCATTGCGTCACGCACATGTCTTAAGACATTTAATCGAGTTGCTAGAAACTCGCCTACCTGTTTTTGAACAGTAGCAGGGCTGATATCAGCAAGACGATCGGCAACCTCTTCCCTACCAAGCCCTGAACCACAGAGTGGTAGCGTTAACGGAACTCGAGGGTGGTGAGACCTTTTACGCAAACGGAGTAAAGCCTGTGGAGGCTTGAACAGCTTAGTTTAATGTAAATTCAACAACACGGAGTATTGAGCTCCAACGCCGTGGCGAATCAGCGCAAACACTGCGCAATGCGTCATTAATGACGCGATTAACACGTTCAGTTTGACCATCGGTCTACGGATGATTCGCTGTGGACATGTCCAATCGGGTGCTGAGCTTAAAGATGGACTTCCAAAACTTCCCAGTGAAGCGAGGATCTCTATTAGAGACAATTGCTACAGGCAAACCATGTTGGCGAAACACACGATCGATACACAGCTTTGCCATGCCTTTAGCATCAATCGTGTCCGGCACAGTCGCTGAATAAGCCATATTGCTCAAACGGTCAACAAAGACCACAATAGCAGTGTTGCCTTCTGAATATTTCGGTAGGTCGAACACAAAATCCATACTCATGAAATTTTAACACACAGTGGGTACAGGCAGACTAGCCAGCGGCGCAGCTGCACATACAGAGGGATTGATCGTGGACACGTTTTGCACGTACGCACGTAGGTGCTCACCCATTTGTACATCTTGGGCCATTAGTTAGCCTGGCTCACTGAGCCATTGGTATTCTCAAGACCGAGATGACCACTTAAGGCGGCATCATGTGCATCATAGAGAATTTTATGCTTCAATTTCTCATCAAGAGGGACAGCAATACGAGGGGTATCCTCAATATCCGTGTGATAGCACAACAGGCCATTATCGATAGAATACCGATGTATCCTTGCACGTCTACGCGGCGACAATTTTATGTCCGAGACTATAAACTCATCGCTCCCAAGAGCCCGTATCAAAGCTATACACCGTTCATCCTTGGCACAAGCCGCACGGATTAAGTCATGAACTGATGACGAGAGTGTCGTAACATGAGCAAGCTCATAGTCAGGTCGGCGCGAGAGCGCATCAGCTAAGGCATTTTGCTTTCCTGGCTTATACTTTACCTCGAAGTTATATTAGGCAAAGAAGGAAAGCCAACGAGCCATTATCTGAGAGAGATACGGCGACTGTTTCGCAGTGCGCAACGATGCATGATCTTTATAGATCACAAAAGGCTTGAAGCCAAGCAGATGTGCTCTGAATTTGACTAGAGCATACTTCATAGCAAGAAGTTCTTTTTAATAAACTAATAGCTCTTTCAGCAGCTTTAAGCTGGCGATACTCGAACGCAATGGCGCGCTCGCGTTTACTAACATCTGTTTGTAAAAGAGCTCTACCAATGGCAAATTCAGATGCGCCACAGACGACACTGAAAGGCCGATAAGGATCTGGCAAAGTCAATATTGGCGCATGATGATGACTATCCTTGATTGCATTAAAAACATCGAGCTTGGTATTAACCCAACACCAGTACACATCCTTTCTAAGAAGATTCGATAACGGCCTAGCCATGTACGCGTAATTTGCACCATACTCATGCAAGTAATTGGCAAGGCCGAGCCACTTACGTAGGTCCTTTTAGTTCTTAGGAACCGGCCAATCGAATATGGCCTTAACCTTAGCGAGGTCCGCTCGAAGGCATCGCTTCCCAACATAGCATCTTAGAAAAGGAAATTCTTCTGCACCAAAGATGCACTTATACGCGTTAGCGTTCAATTTATTCGTGCGCATGCACTCGAAAAACGCTCGTAAATGACCAATGTGGTTTTTTACATCTGATCGACCATTCGTTGCACGACTATGGACAAAGATGTCGTCAAAGCACGTATGTGGTATTCTTATGGTCGATTGAGTTGCGTCACTAGACGGTTAAAAGTAGCCGGGGCGTTCTGACAGCCCTTGTGGCATTACCAGCCTATCTCAGAGCATACCGCTCGAAGTACTGACCGCTGTGAGTGGGATATCACAAGCTCGCATGAGCAGTTGGTAATATTTATCGACTAGGTCGAATGCACTTTACAATGTACACCTTAACATATTGTTCTTGAAGAACATCCTTTCTAGGAAAAGGCGTCTGCGCCGGTATAGTTGCTGCATTAGGCTAATTTTAGGCATGCACAATGCGCCACTTGTCATTTGGCTTCTTGACACAAAATGTCGGTGTTAAATGGGAAGATTTACTCTACACGAACCATTCCAGCCGCGTGCTTAGCACGAAAGAAGTCATCAATGACGTCACACTGTTCTTTAGGCAAGGGCCACTGCCGTTTTACAGCGGTATTTAGTTCCTGGAACTAAGTCAACCATGGTACACCTCTATCAGGTGGTAAGACAGACGGTAGGTTGTGACACACCACATCTTGAAATTCCTAAACCAAAGGATGAAATGGATCCAAAGAATCGTTTAGGAATCGAAGATCCACTTCGCGCACTAAGTGCCGCCTTTGTGTCGTATAGGACAGACTCATCCTTTAATGAGGACGGGTTCAACTCAGACATCGGGTCTGAATGACCACTAATTCGGATATAATCTCCTGCCTGTAAGGCCTGGCTAAACTCGCCATCAGACATTTCGTCAAGCTCACACAGAGCATCCAAAGATGGAAGGGTGTCAAGGCTCACATTGCCATCAACCTGACCAGTCACTCCATTCACAAGCGTATATATTGTATTGCTATCATCACTATGTGACTGTGTGGACGCCTGGCGCTTAACAGTTGCCACCTGACGTCCATAACGTCTTTTGAAGACCTTACACCCTTAGGGGTCGGGACAATAATGCCCCCTTTACTACTACTAATAGTAGTTTGATCTATACGAGAGCCGATGTCTTGACCGACATCCGGTGAAGGGTTTCGTTGCTCCAAATCTTCACTCAGTGGATTTACACGTGCCACTTCCTATACATTATTCGGGCCTAGCCCTTAACTGAACGGCGTTTTGCCAACAATGTCATTACCTACATCATGTGCGGTGCCCTCACAGCCGACCGCACTCAAAGAATTTTCACGTACCACCTCACACACATCAAAGGAATCACATCCTTGATAATTCGGCCCTAGGCCAACCATGCTTTCAGCATGCAGTGACTCGTTACTACAACGAGCAACAATCAATGGAGTACGTGCTAATCACCGGCATTTAACGAGCTACGCTCGGAATCTATGTTTACAAAATTGGAGTTAGGCAACTCAGACATTCCAATGTCCAGAACATTGACATAATCTGCCAAAGGCTCGCGCCAGTGATGCTTCCGTTGCCTAGCGAAGGGGGGTCCATGACTCTCCAAAACTTCACTAGTAACGTTAAGCGTGGCGCTTAAGGACTTAGACCTCCAATCAATCCATAGCTCATTGCGTTCATGCCAAGCCATACCAGGGATGAGATTATATCTCGAGTCCAAATCAAGAACAAGACAGCGTGTAATGCTGTCAAAGTATAAACACTGTATTTCTAAGTTCAATGGAGCTTTAGGCACAGTAACACGAATTCCAGTCGCTCAACGAGCCGTGATAGAATCATCCTCATGCGCTGTAAGCGCCTCAGCATAACGCTGAATTCCTTCAAGGGAACGACGTTGAGCATAATTGCAAGACGCTCCTGAGTCGATCAATATCGACCAAGGCCTCTCAAAGCCCATAATTTTCGCCTCGGCAACTAACAAGCCAGACCTGTATCTACGCTCCATACCAATAATTACGGAGCTCTTCGGGGCTAAGCTCTGTTTAACTTTACCTCCTAAATGTGTAACAGAACCTAATTCTTCACCAGTAGGGCGCTTCGCGCCTACTGGGCGTCGGCATTTCCCCGTTCCATGCCAGACTTCTGGCTCGGGGTAAAGTGTCGACTAGAAGCCTGACGCTGTCTACGCAAAAGGCAACTATTCTGGAAGGGTTTTTGTTTGCTTTCACACATAAAATATCGTCGTACGACGCGTTGCTGCTCAGCAGCTTGAAGTTCAATTCACTCTCATCTTCAGCATAGCTGATATCCATCAATTCCGGCCTGTTAAAAGCCGGATTACTAGTGGAGCTTGCTCTAGCAGAGCCAGACGTTGTACCCATTCCAGCCAAGCCTGATCGACTTGAAGTTATGCTCAGCATTAAGAGCAATTCTCACGGCCCCTTTAAACGTAGAGGGGTGAATCCGGAAAACTCCGGTTCTGGCAATGCCAGTACGAAGACCTTCCATGAAGATAGTCACATGAACTGCCTCGGGCAAAGGGTCAGACTGCATTGCAGCCGTGAGACTTCTCATCTCTTAGACATAGTCCGATAATTCATTCTTACCCTGACGGGTAGAAAAAAAGCGTGAACGCACGCGGTAAGCTTAGTTAGGTGATGAAAACATCTGCACCAATTGTGACTTTAGCGACTCCCATGTAGGAAACGCTAAGTCAACCGACGTGCTACACGTCAAGGTCCATTCTCTAGATCTTCCATCGAGCTTTGAGAATGCCAGCGAGACCTGCTGATGGTCAAGCTTGATCAGGCCTGATCTCATGGCCATCTCAAGCTCACGGATCCAGAGGATGAGGTTCTCACCCTCCTTACCGGAGTAGTTTTTCACTTCCACTATAAGTAGACGAGGCCTATTCTCTTCATCGGGTACAGAAACATAGCGTGTAGGCATATCCGACGCTATTTGGTCCTGGACCTGCCCTAAAAGGGTCGCTTCATACTGCATGAAGCCTTCAACACGTGCATTGAGCACCTCGGGGCCTTGTGAGACAAGGAACTCCACGTACTTTGGACCCAAAGATGCGGTCAGCTTATCAAGCGCGACCTTTTGGACCTCAGAGAGGGGAGCGGGTTTTTTCTCACAGACGACCAGTCTAAATAGACTCATGCGTAGATTGACTACAAGTGCTACCAAGTGTAGCGGAGCTACACAGCTCCGTAAGTCAGAGGAAGGATTAACGCTCAACGAGAAAGTTATTTTTAGAGAACTAGACTCAATGAGTCAACAAGCGTAACGCTTGTGGTCCTTGTTCCAGGGGACCAAACGATTCAATGGATCGACAGCACTTAGTGCTCAATAACAATTAGCTACCTCAGATAGGTGTTGCTAACTCTTAGTGATCAGCGATCAACGACCAAAGACGCCTCGCAATGCACGTGTCTTTATGATCAAAAGGGGAACTGAAATTCATTTACATTTATACCTATAGAATATCTTAGCTTAAGTTAGTACACTTTTGTCCTAAGTTAGTACCTCTAAGATCTCTCCTATCTAGTGGCTGACACCAGTCAGCCCCTATAAACAGATAAGATATTCTATATCTCTTTCAGCGGGATATCATCCGTGTGTCCAAGACACAGGGTACCAAGTACCTAACTACGTGTAACCCCGTTACGCTACACAAACTAGTGTGCGCAGTGAATTTAAAGCCCTGTTATACAAGATCATCCATTTTATTTAAATGCTGCACTGTACGATGAAAGCGTCGTCGCCCGATTGAACCTTTGCGTACTAAATGCCTACATCGTCAACCGAGTCGATGTCTAATGGCTGCTTTCGTACAGCCAGTCGTGGCTCAGTACCGGCGGCTATGGCTTCCAATTGATAAACATCGGAGTGGTAAAGTCACGAATGCGTGAGATACTTATCGAGCAAGAATGCGATTCATTTCAGTACAGATAAGCTAGAAAAAACGTAGCAGCTTTTGTACCGGTGCGTCTCACCTACTATGAATTCGATGGTTGTGGCTTTCATCAAGCGTATCGTTTACGATAGTGGTTGTCCAATCAAGTGGAATGAAAGACATGACGAAACGAATGAGCTTAATGTGATTTGAATACACGTGGCTCTTTGAGCATAATCACCATCGTAAAGCGTGTTTGCCAGTGAGTCTTAGACTTTTTGGAATGTTACAGACTCAACAAAGTATTAACGTTATTACCTGATGCAAACACACCAGCATTAAGAGTTCCCTGTGTCGGGGAACATGATCTTGTGCCGGAATCGACTAAGTTTGCATTAAAAAAGCTCACCTATGACAAGAAAACGGTACTGCGAAAAGATAGAGACAGGAGTGTGAGTTTGGTTGAAAGTCTTCGGAGACTGCCGGAGAAAGCAAAATCGCTTCTCGAGAAGAAAGCGCAATTTGCATTGATGTGGTATATCGTCTACAAGGCTGGCATTAACCGCTTTAGTACGAGAGGAAGACCAGACCATTCATCTTCAACGCCTTCTCGTCTTCGATTGCATTTGCTATGATCGATATCAATCTATAAATGATCACCCGCCGAGATCTGTTGAAAGCGTGCGGTACGTTCGAACCCCCGCTGGCCAAACTGTATGATCGAACTATACTCGGACAACGTTCGGCTCGAGGCAAATTAGTTATTGTGCCTCGACAGCCTCAGCGGCCATAGAATGCAAGTGATATTAAACACGACAGCTAGCCAAGAACGATTGTGTAGATTTTTGACAAAGTCGGGAACCTATAGACTTGTGTCAAAAGCAAGAGTCCAGACACCTTCTAACTGATTCCCCGGTGACGCATTTGAGTTCGCACGATTATCGGTAATGAATAAATGTCCCGATAAAAGTATCCGCGGTAACGGCGGCGAATAAATGCCACCGTTCTGCTTTGGCCTTCTGTTGGATGCATCACTAAGAACTTGGTCTTCAACAAATGGTCTGGCTCTATCTGTGCCATCTTCCAGCGCAGCAGCAACGTATCAAGATACTTTCCGACCATCGGATGATGACTCTTGATAAGCTTTGCGCTAGCGAGCATTGCAAATTCCTCTTCACCACCAAAAGCTTCGGTCAAAATGTTCAGAACGATTTGATTTTGGAGCAGCTCAAAGTCATCCTGACTCATCTCAGTTCCATCCCGGAGCCGTACGAAGTCAGCCTTGTACAGCACGCGTTCTAGCTGAAGATGCTCCACATATCGTTCCAATGTCAAGAGCTCGGTGCTGGTAAAAAAATCTATCCCTTTCTTCTCGAGCTCCATCATGGCACACACGTTTTCACCGGTCAGCTTTCTCTTCGCCCAGCCTGTCATCATTTCTTGCTGCAATTGTGCTGCACGACCAGCGGTATCCGGATTGCGAGATCGGATCGAATTCATCAAGAGTGTTGACAGGTGCAGGTCACCGAAGTTCTTCGTCAGCGTCTCAATCAGCTTATGCTTGCCTCCTTTCTTCACGTTGACAAAGCTGATGTAGAATTCTAGCACCTCCATCTTGCGAAAGTCGCCAGTCTTGAAATAATCAACGGTTTCGCGAGTGTCAATCGATAGCTTCAGTGACCTCGCGAGGTCGTCAATGGATCTACCGTGATCCCACCAGTGCTGCAAAAAGATCATCGACCAGCTGGGAAGGCGATTCAAATCGGTTCGTCGGCCCTGAGAACAATTCATGTTCGTGCTCGGCGATCGATTTCCCTCCATTCAATAGGGTCTTCCAAAACTCGGACGGGTGAGTGCAACTCACGACCGCGCGAACTAGCTCAACCATTACGTCTTTTAGTGTCCTCTCTTCTCCATTTATGGCGTCTGAAGCCCGCAAGCTCATTTTATCGACAACGGCGGTGTGGTTGTCAAGAGCCGGAGTCGGATCGTTCACATCTGCCGTAGCAAAACCGGATACCCCAGAAGGACGCTGAAGATACGCGACGGTTGCAGCAACAGCCGTGATGGAGTGGAATCGCATGGTTGCGTTAGTGTGTTGAATTGAGGGTATGCTGCAGAGTGGCAAGAGTCTGACCCCAGTTGAGAGGCTCAAATCAGGGCCAATGACGCTAGCTTGACGTTAGATCGCAACTCATGACGTCATTTAGTGCTGCTCTTCAGATTGCACACATCCGCAAATCGGTGGATCTTGATCTTGGCGTGCGTCCTTGTCAAATATCAGATCTTGATGTGTGATAGGAGAAAGTTCTAGTGGCTGACACTTCCTGCAGCACCACTGAAGATTGAAAGAGAGCTGATCATGCTGTAAATATGCTCATGCACTGTGTGCTTTCTTCAAAGTACAAGCAGAAGTATGAGACATAGACAGGATCTCGGACTGGCTTTGTTGTGTAAATTCCAAGACTTCTTCGTTGCCCTCTGTCGTATTAGTGTCGGCCAATGTGACTTACATTTACATCAACAATCTGTTGATATGAAGCACTACTATGCGGACCGCATCAGAGGTTCATTGATATTGCTGTCACATTGGCAGCAGTATCTCTACAGTCGCTAGTAGACATACTGAACCGAAACAGAAATTTGTAAAGCACATGTCGTGGTTATTGCTTACATTAATCAGGTACAACCCTCAAGCTGCGTGATAGGGAATCAATCTCACAGTGGTTAGCTACTTGTGGTGTAAGAGCACACGCATGTGGTTACTTCGTGAACAAACGCTGATCAGCAGCCGAGTCCTACAACAGCATGATTGAAGGAAATTCGATTAGAAGTGGATTGTAAATGTTATAATTGATATATTTTTATTTCAAAAGCTACAAGTTGCAGAATTCATCACGCGTATCTGCTACTTCGACCACAATAACCACGACTACACCCTCTATAAAGAGATGCTGATACAGACATAACGGATTGCTAGTTCTCTGACCACTAGGCCTCGGCAAGGTATGGTACAAGGTTAACGGGTAGTTTTTTGCTCTACATTTTCCTTACCAATCACTACTTCTACCCTGCTGGTCTGTGGCTACCTCTGCATTTACCTTACTCTAACCTGTTACCTGGGTATTTATTTCCTGTGCACGAGCATTTATGTGATTGAATATAGCCGTAGAGTTGCATCTGTATCGATGATGTGATGACAATGTAGGCCTATCAAAATAAATTAAGTAATGCAGTGGTGTAGGATCAAGTTGTATAGGCTAGGTGATAAAGTGATCGCAACGCGCTCTAGCGGTACTTTATCGGAGCTCACATATCGCCTCAATATCATATCAGCAAATCGGTTATGCAGTAAATGTACAACCTCATTGTAACGGGGTAGCCCGTGACATGAAATTGACACCAAATGGTGTCAATAGAAATAATGTCTAGCATGACAATGTTCTACCAATATTATCCAGGATAAATAATATTGAAGGAATATTATCCCCTTTAGATAATTTTCATGCGCTGCTTCAAGATTGGTTAATATAAGACACGTCAACCATAGATTGCCACCAATCGCAGCTAGACGCGCGCAATGGGTGGCGAGCAGGTTGTCGTCATACGACGACGTAGATTAACATAGTTAGATAAAGATTAAAACCATATTTATAGCTTAACTATATTATTAAATACAGTTCTCTATTAACCTTTACTTGACCGAGTCGTTCAATTAGTTTAGCTTCCATCGGCACGTTGTATTGTACATGAAGTTTCGTGGAACCCAAAAAAAGGGTGCCCCGTTACACCTGGTAGCACTTCTTAGTCAGTCCAACGACTACTTAGTGTACGTCCAACATGAACATGTTGGACGTAGAAGACGACAGATTTCACGTCACACGTGAAGGCTACCCCGACCTGAATGACTCAGAGTGGGAGACAATCGTCCGCATGAGTCTGCTAATCGCCGAATTCGCCATCAGCTGCATGTTGGAGTCTCTAAGCAGAGACCAGCAACGTGCTGCTATCAACAAGTTCTCACAAGGGGAACTTGCCGTCTAAAGACAGAAGATAGCCTTGCTACAACAGCGAGGCTCTCATCAGTCGATGGGCGGGCCGACGCACTTGCGTAGATCCGAGTTTTGAAGATTGACGCACTTGCGTAGACCCGAAGTTTTGAAGATTGATATCTCAAGGGAAAAGGGAATCGATGAAGGTTCTCTTTTGGAATGGTTCGTCTGGGATAGACGATGCCATCAGGGCCCGTCACATCGAGGGTGACGAGATGCAAGTCACCTTCGCTCTGTCAAATTTGACGGGACGAGCAAAGACTTGGGCTTTAGGGCTCAAGCTTCACGACCCAAACGTGTTTGAGTCGTTAGCGACCTTGAAGTCTCGGCTCAAAGAGACGTTTTAGCCGCCACGATCCGAGTCCGCTCTGCACTCCTGAGGCTCAAGCAAGGCAAGCGTGATGTGCAAGCTTACGCACAATACCTGCGCTACCTTGCGAGTAGCGTCACGGAAAACCCTGTTGATGAGCACACGCTCATCAACGTGTTTATTTACGGCCTTGAAAATGGACCAGTGAGACCTAAATGTTTTCGAGAGGACTTCAATACGCTGAAATAGGCGGTAGCGTATGCGGAACAAGAAGACTTCAGCCGAGACAGCCTCAGGCTAACTCGTCAAACTATCATCCGACGAGACGACAGGAAACAGGAGGTCCCGAACCAATAGAACTCTGTTACATCGAGAGCGATAACTATCGCTCTCTGAGTAAAAAGCGAAAGGCAAGATGCCATCACTTTCAGAGAATTGGACACTACGCTCATTCGTGTAGTGAACCAAGCACCGCATCACGTCTAAATACAGGACTTGATGAACGCCATTGAACGAGGAATGGTCCAAGGCGCGGGTCCGACCATGTCGCTAAGCCGCGACAGCAAGTCGGATCGCCGAAATTTGATCAGGGTCAGCAGGGGCGAAGCACCCTGCTGATTAAGCAATGTCAAGAGAATTTGCAGGACTCATGACAAAGATTGCTCTTAACACATAGTCGCTGTGTGTTACTTACTCAGTGATGAGGTGTCACTCATCACTTTGAAGATCGAAGCGAAGAGAGGAATTTGTCACTTCAGTTGACTGTGGGGCGTCGAACAGTTTTATTTGACGCCAGTCGCCAGAGTATAGTAGACTTAACTATGTTGAGCGAGAGTTCCCTCCAACGAGGATGACGGTGTGCCTTGCTACAGGCGCATCCGTAAAAGTGAACAAACGTGTAGTGGGAATCCACTACACGCTAGAAGGAAAGCAGTACGATGATGACTTCATCGTACTAGATTTGGATGACATATTTGATGTCAATCTTGGTCTGCCATGACTTAGAAAGTACCAGCCATGGGTCAGCTTGCAGCATCAATCTATGAAGATGCCTGTTATTTATTCATCAGATGGCTATCTGATGAACGTCTTGGATCGTCCATAGGGGTGTGGATGTACTACGAGTGAGTGCAATGGCCTCACTTGTGGTACGGTCGTTAGTACGATTGCACAAGATCACAGTGTAGAAGGCCACTAAACTGTGGAACCGGCTTCCGGCACCTGTGTAGAGACACAGGCTGCGCCGAAGGTCCACCGCTCAAAGAGATCGAGTGGACCGAAACATGGATGCACACCAAGAAGGGTGCGTCCGAGAAGATAAATTAGTGTTGTTCAGGGTGAAAATTACGTCGAAGCGAGATCGACTAGCAGAAAGTCGATCGTAGAGCAAGCCCGATCGACTGAAAGAAAGGCGATCGAAGTGGACGTGACTGTGGTAGTGCACCCACAGCCAGAACACATATTGGAAGAAAGTTCAAGCTTTTCTAAGAGTGATAATTCCCGAGAGTGTTATGTTGAGGGTGTAGATCCCCAACCACCTGCGGATGTGTTTTCCCAGGAAAACACCGAGACAGTGAATGTCTTGGTGAAGGACGGATCAAGTGTAGGCGCATGTACACTTATTCTGGTTACATCTACGAAGTCAGCTTCGGAGGTGGTCAAGTTGCCAACGCTGAATCTAAAAGATTCTTTCGAGATCTGCGTAGTGACAAGATCAAGCAGGTCTGCGTACTCGTCACAGAGGACGAGTACGTCGCCGATATTTGATCGGCACAAGTGTTTCTTGAGAACGAACGGGTTCTCGTTACTCATCGATGGAAGAGAGTGTCCTCGATGAGAAGACCCGGATTGAGCGATACACGTCTTAATCTTCGGAGTCTCTGAAGACAACTACTTTTTATTAGGATTTGGTGGAGCTCAGATATGTTTTCCCTAAATCCGTGGCATGCGATTTGCCGAAGGACAAAGGCACTCAACATGAAATCGAACTGAAACCTGGTTTGTAGTACTATGTCATAAAGTAGTGGCCACTGCCTCGTGAACAGGTCACAGCGATCGACAAATTCTTTGCCGATCGTTTAGCGGCTAGTCATGTGGAGGGAACCAACATCCCCACACAGCTCTTCGACCTTCTGTGTGCGAAAGTCCACGGGGGGTGGCGGAAAGTGCACGCGTTCAACAAATTAAACGCTGCAACGGTACTGGCTCAGACGCCGACACCAAGGAAGGACGTCATCGTAGATGGTATGGCAAAGAGTTTCTTCTTTTCGTCCATGGTTCTGATGGATGGATTCTATCAGATCCTCTTGCGTGAACGAGACATCCCGTACACAGCAGTGAGCACCCTGTTGATATGCTCTGGGAGTGGCTAGTGATGCCACAGGGGCTAAGTAACGCCCTGCAACGTTTAACAGATGTTTTCCAAATTTGTTGCGATCGGTGCGCAATTTCGCAACGAGTTACTTCGACGATGTCTTCGTCCATAGCCGGTCTATGGATGGGAAGACGGACGTGGAGGTTCATACTCCGATGCAAGAGCATAAGTTGTTTGCAAACCTCAAGAAGTGTATATTCGCAGCGAGAAAAACACCACTTCTTGGCTGCATCGTGGGTAAAAACTGCGTACGCCCTGATATGGAAAAGATCAAGGCAATTAGCGACTGGCCTGTGCCAGTCGACGTCAAGGGACTTCGAAAGTTCCTTGGCTTGGCAGCGTATTTG